ATGAATACGTAATGGGTATATCAAAAGTTAGTAATTTTTAATGGCTGTGGAGTATTTCATTGGTCCATTCTGCTGTCGATGAAATTTCTTGTTTACATTTGTGCCGTTTATCAATTTATTGCCTTTCAGCTCCAAATTCACTCTTTTTGACTACTCTGTGAAAATGGCTCTGGGCCCACAGTGACTTCTCTGCTCTTGGGCCATGCCATGCCCTGCCTTGACCAAGTAGGTCCAGATCTCAGCCCTGGGTTGGTGTGAGAGGCATGGTTGCCCCTTATATCTGCTATTCCCGTATTCTTTAGCATTCTCTTTACTTCTGACTGCAAATCTCTTATCACTGGAGCCCCTTACTGGAGTGGATGATTCTTTACATTAAACTTGCCCTGTTCAAATTACCGTGTGGTTTCTCTCTCCTGATTGAACCCAGACTGATATCACAGTTTTTGGTTATGAGCAACGTGCTCTGAACATTCTTGGCCATGGCTCTTGGTGGATATAAGAAATCATTTCTGTTGGGTATGTGCCTAGAAGTGGTTTGCTGGGTCATAGCACATGTCTTTCACTGTAGCAGATGCCGCCAAAGTAAACATAGCCTTCCAGAGTGTTTGCAGCCTGTAATATTGCCACCCACTTCATTCCAGTCCTTCTAATGGGCAGCAGTGGTATTTTATTGTGGTTCTGTTTGCATTTCCCTAGTGACTAATGATGTTGTCCTTCCTTTTTTTTTTTTTTGGCCATTTGGATATCTTCTTTGGTGACATATCTGTTCACAATTCATTTTTTTAAATTGTGGTTTTTTGTTTGTTTGGTCCTTGTTGATTCGCAGAAGTTATTGATTTATTCTGGATAATAGTCCTTTCTCAGATATATGTATGGCAAATTATGTGTGGCAAATATAGTCTCCCAGTCTGTGGCTTGCCTTTGGACTCTCTTGATGGTATCTTTTTTTTTTTTTTGGTTTTTTTTTTTAGCTGAGCCATCCCGCCACCTGTTGGCAGCTCACGGCTGCTCAGCTCGGGCTGGACTCGAACCGCTGTTGCTCAGAGCTCAAACTCTTGAGCGAGCTCTTAACCAACTGAGCCACTCGGCCGGCCCTTGATGGTATCTTTTGAAGTTCCATTTTTTATTCTTCCCTTTCATGGTCCTATTTGTTTTTGTGTCCTGTTTGGAAATAAATGCCTAGATCAAGGTTAGAAAGCTTCCCTTCCAGAAGCTTTCTTGTTGTACCTTTCTGCTTTGGATATGTGATCCACCTGGATTTGATTTCTGTGTATGGTGTGAGGTAGGGGTCGGGTGCGTCTTTCTCCCCATGTGGATATCACATTGATGCAGCACTTTTGATTGAAAGATCACTCTTTCTCCACTGAATTGTGATGCATTTGTCATTTATCAGGGACCGTTTGTGTGTAGGTCTATTTCTGAGCTCCTGCTCTATTGATCTATTTTCTATCACTGTGCCAGTTTTCTTACATAGTTAAAAGGCATACCGGCTTATTTCTCTAGTAAAGGAAACTGCTGAACTTTGCTAAAAGCTTGGCTGGATGATGTTTGTAGAAGACATTTATTTGTCCAGGCCACCAGCCTGCTTGGGGGAGTCATCTGAGTTCAAACCGAATTGTATGGCGTGGTTATTCTCTGCCTCATGCCTCTCCACCCACTCTTTTGTCCTGTTGAGAAACTTGTGGTGGGATGTATTTTTGAGGTTCTTACTCCTGCTGTCTTCCTTAGGTGGGGTGGCCCTTTATGCCTCTTCATGAGCTGGCACTTCGTCCACATGCTTCCAGAACAATTCCTTTGTCCCCTCAACTGCATGAGTGTCAGTGATAGGCTGCTCAGAAGATAGAGGGGCTCCCAGCATGCACTAATTGGGATTCCCCAGAGTAACGGAGCCCAGGAGTAGAGTCACGTTTCGTGGTGTCTGAAGCTTACACAGTTGGGGGAGAGGGGTAATCTTCTTTCAGAAAAAGGAAACAGTAGAGGTGAGTGAGTGCTCCCGAAGCAGAGCTTCGCCAGTCTCATAGAATAGCCCCCTCGTGAATGGTTTTCCTTAGAAGACCCAGGCTTAGCCTCCAGACCCTGGGCCAGGTCTGTTGGTGTGGGCTCAGCGGTGGGGAGGTGTCACTCATGTCTGGCTCCAGGCCAGACCCAGGAACTCACTCCCTGTCACCCTTATTTGCTCTCCTCCTGCTCTTCCCCTCCTCCCCCTTCCCCAGGGGGAGGGATATTTTCAGTCTCTACAACGAGTCCACTTAAAAATTAGGGTGGGCATGGTGGTCTGTGGTCTTTGACCTTACCTGTTTACGATGCAGTACCCGTTTGGTTGACTCTATGCAAGTGGTTCCCACTGGTGTTTTCAAAGGGACCGGCCTAGAGTACAAGGACATGTAAATGCCGATTCCTGGGATGCAGACCTGCTCTATCAGAATCTTTTTGGGATGGAACCTTTGAACCTGCATGTGAACCAGCGTGCTGGGTGATTCTTACACCCCCTGAGTTTGGGAATCTCTGGGTTGTTTGGGTTCAGAGCTCCGAGATGTCATCCGTGCTGCACTTCCTAGGATGCTGCTCTGTTCTCCATGGCCTGTGGGGCGGCGAGTCTTCCAAGATGTGAGACAGTGGCTCTGGAGCAGTGTCGAAGGTGGATGCCAGCAATCTGGATTGTCCGCTGCACTCCCTGAGTTGCTGTGGTCTGGAATTCCCTCCCTGGTCCCACCTGCCACGTCACACCCGCCCTTCAAGAACAAAGTCAAATACCGTGTTCTCATGGCCCACCTAACTGGCGTGGCACCCAGCCAGTCCTCTGTCCACCCAGGGCCACGGGCCCCTGGGGACACGCTCCTGGCTGTGTTCTTTGGCCCTGGGTGCTCCCTTTGGCCTCAGAGTTGAACTTGACCATTACCGCCCACTCCACACTGTTTCCTTCAGGTCCAGGGGTCCCTTCCCACCAGCCCCCTTGAACTTAACTTTCCAGACCACCCCTTTGGCTTTCCAGCCCTCGGGCATGTGGACTTCCGAACCCTTTGTTTCTAGGCCCTGTAACTTGAGGTCAGAGGTCCTGCCCACCTGGCTTGGGGAGGGACCTTCCATATGACTAGGTGGCAGTTAGGACTCCGACTTTCAGGTTCCCCACAGACAGCGTTTCCCTTCCGTGAAGGCTGTCGCTTTGTGCTATTATTTGTTCCACTGTAATTCAGACGTGCTCAGCATCTAACATGAGCACAGCCCTCTGGGTTATTCAGAGGGATGTACCCCTGGTCTGGGCACTGCAGCCCCAGTGGGGCACAGTGACCCCAGCCTGGAGCTGAAGCGGCAGCTGAGATACCTACGGAGGAGCCCGAGGAGGGCCGGAGGCGGAGGACAAGGGGAGGAGAGGCCTGCCACCTTCTGGCTTGCCTTGATCTATAATTCATGTGCAGTACGTATCTACTCCAGTTCCACGGCTCTGTGTCTGTGTCTGTATTACTCACAGGTTAAAAGAGCAAAGCCTGGAATGCAGCATGTGCTGAATAAGCGGTGGTTCCATTACTGACTGGTTGGCTGGGCTACACAGCCTGCTCCAGGTGTGCTTAGGAGGTGGGGCTTCCATAGCAGAGATGGTGCTCGTTCATGGCCCTGCCCCAGGTAAAGTGGACCTGCTTTAGGCTAAGGGCTCCTGCCTCCTGGCCAGCCTGTGAGGGCCAGAACCTGGGACACACCCCTTCCCTTTCTAAAAATGTGCTGTCCAGGCCCTGTCCCCTGTTGGTGACCTCCTGAATACACCTCCAGTGGGAGGTTGGATGCTGGATCCTTATGGCATCTGATTTATAGACTCAACCAAAGATGCAAATGCTTTCAAATAGGGATTGTGAGGTATATCTTCTGGAGACTTTGTTTCTTGGTCACTCCACTGTCGGCAAGAAGAATGTTCCAATTGTACATGAAAAAAAATGACGGCAGGGAGCTTTGGAGAGTTGGGGCCCTGCCGTTTGCTCTGCCTCCTGGGTGCCGCTTGGCATGGAAACAACGCAGGCAGTGAACCAAGTGTCCATCCCTGGGGACTGAGATCCTTGCGAGGGAAGGTGCACTGGGGGGATGCGAACTAAGGTTTACCATTGAGGCAACCCACTGAAGAAGAGCAAATTTGTCCGAGAGAGGAAGCAAAATAGAGAAATACCGTCTTTTCCTTGCATTGGGGTTTTATGTTTTTCCCTAACACATACTGTGGGGGAAATGCAATTCAGTTCCTGTCACCCCTTCCTCCACCAAAATAAACTAACATCCTCGCCCTGCAAATAAATACTCTCACAAAGGATGAAGGAAGAAAATAGAATCGCCAGCACCCTGCAGGCACTGGCGTGGACTCCCGCAGTGATCGAAGGTGGTGGGGGCTCCAGCTGAACAGGAGGTCCTCAGGGGCCCAGAGGAACTGGAGCTGGACTGCATCAGCCTCTGGAGAGTCAGCTAGTTCTGGAAAGTTCCATCATTATTCCATTTCTTTTTCTGAAGCTATTTGACTGTATTCGGAACAGAATTTTAACTTAATGAAATTTTGAGATCTTATTTTGCCATCAGAAGAACCAACCGCTTCCTCATTTCACTCGATCAGTTGCTTTTCTTTCTGGCCTCTCTGCCCTCTCTCTCTCACTGAGGCTGACGATCTGAAGACACAGACTCTGGGTTGAGAAATGATGGATTTCTGCCGTGTTAAATTCTTTAAGCGTCAGCCACAGTCTGTTATGTAGAGAAGGTCAATATTGGTATGAGAAGTTGGAGCGTACAAAGCTGTGGGTGCTGTCCTAGTCCTTTAGGCCAGAAAGGATTCTCAGATATTCGCACGCTGTTATTGTTGTCAACAACCTGGTGAAATGTGTCTTGATTGTACGCATTTTACAGATGAGAAAAGTGAGGCTGGGGTGGGGCTCTACATAGGTAGGTGGCACCACAGAAACCCTCAGGCACAGCAAATGGCGAAGAGTTGCTGATGAGGCATGAGTGATGTGAATGATGCTATTCTTTTTAAGTTTTTTCCTTAGAGTGTGATTCCTGAGGAAGAGGATCATCAGTTTTGGTAAACAAAACAAGCCCAGAACCTGGCAGAGAGAGCGGCATATGCTGACGACTCTTTGGAATGACTTTTCTCTTGGAATCTACCCTGTGGCTTTAGTCCTCCAACCAGAGGTTCATCCTGCGCAGGAAACAGTGAGTTCTTTGATTTTTTAATGTTATAACATTAACGTGGATCATCCTGGATTTGTTGAGAGTGACACGGATGTGTGGACAAAAGATGGAAGAATCAGACAGGAGATTTAAAAAAGTAACCTAAGGAAACAAAGTAACCACCACGCTAGCAGGGGCGGAATTTCAGGGTGGCTGTGTAAATTAGAAAACTGGTCTTTTTCTTCCTGGAATTGGTAAAATGGTGCTTCATTCCATCAGAAAACAGTGCAGGTGGTCCATACAGTTACATCTAGAACACGTGGTTTCCAGTCTTGTAGGTTCTCTAGCTGGACTTCATTGTGGAGCGAGAGAAGGGCAGAGCTGGAAGGGGCTGGTGAGAGGTACGGTCCCATGCCCTTCGAGATGAGCAATCTGTGACTCCTCCCCGGTGAAGGGCTGGCTAGCCTGGGGGCCAGAGCCAGTGCCCGTTCCCTGTGGTCCTGATTGTGCCGCGTGGAGTGAGTGACGCCGGCAACGGTCCGCGCCTCCCTGTTGAACCACGGCATCCATCTGTGTGCAGTGAGATTCCAGAGTTTCTGAAACACGAGTCATGAAACGTGGGTTGCTTCCCGCTTCCCAGCCTCCCAGGGTAAAGCTCCCATGCCTTCCTGCCCTTAAGGTCTAACCATTTGATTCTGTTCCTTTCAGATGGCCTACGTCAAGATGAGATTGCTATATATTTCCTTTTTTGTTCTGGGAGCCCTTTGTTTGTATTTCAGCATGAACAATTTTTCTCTTTTTAAAGACGAGCTAGTTGTTTTCAAGAAAGAAAATGGGAAGTTCCTCCAGCTGCCTGATGTAGACTGCCGTCAGCATCCCCTGTTCCTCGCAGTGCTGGTGACATCATCCCACGCACAGATGCTTGCTCGCTTGGCCATCCGGGACACTTGGGGAGGAGAAAAGGTTGTGAGAGGAAAGCGGATAAAAACATTCTTTCTCCTGGGACGCAGCCCCAATCAGGACATAGAAAAAGCGGTGGCCAAGGAGGGCCAGCAACACCGCGATATCATCCAAAAGGACTTTGTGGATGTTTATTTCAACCTCACTCTGAAGACCATGATGGGTATAGAGTGGATCCACCACTTCTGTCCTCAGGCGGCTTTCGTGATGAAAACAGACTCCGACATGTTCGTCAACGTCTACTATCTGACCGAGCTACTGCTGAAGAAAAACAGGACAACTAGGTTTTTCACTGGCTTCTTAAAGTTGAACGAATTTCCAATTAGGTCAAAGTACAATAAGTGGTTTGTCAGCAAATATGAATATCCGTGGGACAAGTATCCGCCTTTTTGCTCCGGCACGGGCTATGTTTTTTCCGGCGATGTTGCGAGTCAGGTGTATAATGTTTCTGAAAGCGTCCCCTTCATTAAATTGGAAGACGTCTTCATGGGGCTCTGCCTGGCAAAACTGAAAATCAGACTGCAGGAACTCCATTCCAAGCAGACCTTCTTCCCGAACGGGCTCAGTTTCTCCACGTGCCGTTTTAAGAAGATTGTGGCCTGCCATTTTATCAAGCCTCAGGAGATGGTGAGCTACTGGCAGGCTCTGGAAAATTCTGTGGGAGAAGAGTGTCCCGCTGAGTGAGAGAGGCTCGGGGCCCATCTGGACACACTTCAGACAACCCACGGTGATGGTTTTGGAAAGACCTTTGGATTGCGTTGCTGAGAGTCATCAGGGGTAGGGAGGGAGTGAGAAAGGGAGAGGGAGGAAGGAAGGTGAGGAGGACACCCGGTAGGGTTCCAGACCTGAACTAGAACGGGAGCTCAAGTGAAACCGCTGATGAGTTCCCACTTAGTTCCCCAAGCAATAAGAATTTCCATCTCATAAGTACCTCCACGGTTATACTGGGTGTTTGAGTTACACCTACGCTTTCTCATTTCAGGGGCTGTCATCATGTGAGGTGGTGGGTGTTATCGTCCCCATTTATACAGGAGAAAACAGTGGCTTATCGAGGTACAGGAATTTGTCCCAAGACTCATGGCCAACAAGGAGGAAGGCGCAGGGAGGAAAAGCGAGGGCTGTCAGAATCCAGCCGGTGCCCCTGACTCAGTCCGCCCCCCTCCCCCCCCTTGGGAGAGACTAGCGGTGAGGAGGCTCAGAGGACAGGCTTGCTACAGGCACCCTTCAGTCTATTTCAGGAGCCTCCTCCTTCTCAGCTCCCAATCCTTGTGCTCTTTAGTGCTAAGACTGGGGTGAACAGCCCCCTACCCCCCAGCTCCCTTCATTTCTGCGATGGACCTGGATGGACACTGAGTCCCCATTAGCAAGCAACATGATACTCCGCTCATAGCAGAGCCCATCCTGGAAGATGTCTGCCGTGGCTACAGCTCAGCCCCTGAGAAGCGGCCAGCTCCAGACAGAAATCGGTTTTTATACTTTTCAGTCAGACATCATTGCAAAGCCTGGCCCGGTGTACAGACTTCTTGGCCACGCTGCTGAGCTCCCCAAGAGCATGGCGTCCTCTGAGCCACATGTGGCATCCCGTCTGTTTGCTTCAGATGCCCTCGGTCTACTGTAGGTCTCTGAGTTCCAATTGGAGGGCAGCTGGGTGCAAGGCCGAGTTGGGGGAGGATTCTGGGAGCTTTCCTGGGAATTCAGGTGGATTGAAGTCAAGTCTTTGAGAGGGCTCCCTTGGACACTGAGCGCTGAAGTGAGCCCTGGTCAAGACGGGTTGGTCCTCCTGTGTCCAGTTCCCTAGCCTGACCCCAGTTCATCTTTGAATTTCTTGTGTGGCAGACAGACAAGTGAGTTTTGTGGTGGGGAGTTTAACCTTCAGTTTTCTTCTCCCTGGAGGGTTGTCTGAGCCTGTTCTTCAAGGGCATTTTCCCACGCAGCCACTGGCACATTCCATGCACGGCTGCCTTGCTCCTGGTCACAGGAGAGCGTGGTTCTTATTTTGTACTTTACCTGACTTGACTTGACCAGCGCTCAAAGCAGAGGCCTAATGTAGCCGTGTGACTTAGAAATGTTGGAGTAAGTTCTGGCCTGAACTCAGGAAGAGATATTTGGTGCAACATGCTGTGGTGATGTGAAATGGCTAAGTGAGGGCTCGCACCTTGTTTTGCACAGCGCTTTTTGTGTCTGGGTTGAGCTGCTGCTTTGCAGGTGTGTTTCCTTCTCCTGGCTGTTCCAAATGTTCTGGGTCATGTTCAAAGAAGCCTCCTTCTCAGGTGGGAACATCAGGGACTTTGTGTTTTTTGAAGCTCAGCTTTTTCCATAGCTACATCCCTTAGTTCCATAGGATGGGCTGCCTCTGATCCGGAAGATACTGGTGGGTTTTAAGGGTGAAGCTTTTGGTCTGGTAGTAGGGCTGGGTCTGTGCTTAGATGTCCACCTTGTCTGTGTGTGTCCGTGTGGCCACTGGGACAGGTGAGTGAGATGTGGCTGAGCCCAGCCAAGCCAGAGCCCTCTGTGTGGATGGCTCAGGGTCTGGCCTTCTCAGTATCAGCCCACAGCCCACTGTGGCCCAAGAGTGCAGGCAAGGCTCCACCTACAGCCTCAGTGTCTTCTTAAAGGATTTCCTGCCAAACACATGTTTCCCCCACTCTATTTCTTTATATACTGAAGAAGGTTTTCCTCGAGGGAAACCTTATTTCATGGTGATAGAATTTGGGGGACCTAAAAGCTCATTCAATCCTGCCTTCATGTAGGAGGACAGTAAAGCTGCAGGAGACCCAGACATTTGCCCAGGACCTCACAGCTTGTTGGGGAATGCGGGCTCCAGCTCAGGTTGTTCTGTGACGCCCATCTTGCCTTGCCCATGTGAGTCAGAAGCTGTGAAAGCATGACTTCGGAGGCAAAGCCATGCTCTTCCATGGACGCCAGACACTGGCTTCAGAGTGGGGTTGGAGACGGGGCACCTGGTGGTATGGTGGCTTCACCCACAGGCACCCAGATGGGAACGATGGTGATAACAAACGCTGTGTGCAGGTCTTGAGATAAGCAAGGCCTGTACATGTATCACCTCCTTAAATGCTCACAACAGCTTTACTGGGAGGTTACGGCCAGTATCTCTACTTTTACAGGTGAGGAAACCAAGGCTGAGAGAGAGGGTGAATCGCTAGGTTGAGGGTCACATAACTGAAAGTAGCAGAAGTACGGTGTGAGCCCAAGCTGTGGAGGGCACTGTGCGTTGATAACGCTCAGTCCTGTGGCCCCCCAGGCTGTCCGCTGACCCTCGCTCAGTGTCCAGGAGGATGCAGAAGCTCAGTGCGTCGGCTGCTCAGGCTGCCTGTCCTGATGCTTCCTCCCTGGCCCGCCACCACACATGCCTACCCTTAGCGTCGGAACCCCGATATCCCGCCTTCCGCTGGGACTGGAGAAAGGAGTCACTGGGGGGCACCCGTGGTGCCAGCCCCTCCATTTTTGGACTTGATTCCCAGCTCTTTTTTCCTCCTGGAGCGTGAGACACCTGGCCCAGCCTCGTGCTCACCTTGGCTATCCATTTTCCCTTCTCTGCCGGACGGCCGCACAAGCACGCACGCATGCTGCCACTTCCCAGCTAAAAAAACATCATCCGTCTTCCCTTGACACCCCTTATCCCCTTACTGCCCCATTGCTGCCCCATTTTTGCACTTCAACCCCTAAGGGGGGTTTTATGTGTTTGTTGTCTGAAATTCCTCTTCTATTCTTTCTGAAATCCCCTCTGCTTAGACCTTGGTGACCTTCCCTCCCCGAGATGGTTCTTATCGAGGTCACTGATGACCTACATTGCTGGGTCCATGGTCGGGTCCCGGTCCACATCTGGGCCGAGTACAGCCGGTCTTGCTGCTCCTGACCCAGCCCTCACTCCTGGCTTCCGGGACAGTTCTCCCACTTGCTGGCCAGGCCTTTTCCTTCTTTTTTGCTTGTCTGAGCCTTCACTCTGACTTCTAAGGCGGGAGTGCCTCAGGCCCACCTTCAGCCCTCCTTTCTTCCCTGGCTCCACTCTGTGCTCTGGGGGTCTCATGCCCCCTCAGGGTTTTAAATGCCCCTCATCGTGTTGATATCGCCCCGTAAATCTGCAGCCCAGAGCTCGCGTTTGCTCTTCCATCTTGCACATTCTACTGCCTACATGTCGTTGCATAATGAGCCAATCCGAAACAGGACTTCTGATGGCCCCTCCCGCACTCCTCATCCGCCTGACCTGCTGCCTTCGCCACCTCAGGTGACGGCCACCCCATCCTTGCCGCCACCCTGACGCCTCTCTCAGCTGGGGCGTCCACAGAGACTGTTGGCTGTCCTTTCAGATTATACCCAGGAACTGACCACTTCCCACCATGTCCCCTGCTGCCCCCTCGTCTGAGCTCCTGTCACGTCTCGCCTGTGTTGCTGCAGGAGCTTCTACCCGGCCTCTTGGCTTCCATCACTGCATCTCCTTGTCTGTTCCTCAAACAGCGTCCAGAGTCCCCTTTGAAAATATAGATTACAGCATCTCACTTCTCTGCTCAAAACCATCCCGTGGCTGAATGTCACCGCGTAGGAGCCACACCTTCAGTATCACCGCCTGCCTCTGCTGCCCCTGACCTCACCCCTTCTCCCCTCACTCACTCGGCCTCCCCGAGCCGTGACACTCTTCCAGCCGCACCGGCCTCCGTGCTCTTCCTAGAGCACCCCAGGCACGCTCTCCCGCCCCCAGGGGCTTTGCCCGGCTGTTTCCTCTGCCGGGACCACCCTTTCCGCAGATACGCTCATGGCCCATTCCTTTGCCTCCTTCAGGTCTGTGGCCAGCTTATCGCCTTTTTGATGAGACCTGCCCTCGAGGTGCCACTCAGCTCCCTTCCCTTGTTACGCTTTTTCCATTGTACTTACCAATGTCTACCAAAGTATGGCATGTCTATTTTTCATAAATCTATTGTGTTCGTTGTTTACACTTCATTCCACTTGAACGGAAGCCTTGTGCAGGAGTGGATCTGCATTTTCATCAGGGATGCACTCACATTCCTCGCACAGCTCCTGCCACATAGTAGGTACTCAATAAATATCTGCCGGATGGAACTGCAATGGCCCCTTTATGGAAGGTGGTTTTAGTGGGGAATAGGTGAACGTCGTCTGGAAGGGGAAGGATTTCTAAAGCATAGCCTACCCTATTGTTCCAGGTGAACCAATCAGTGGGAAAATGGGTGTGTTTTTACAGAAAACTGTGACCTGAAAACCTGGAAGTGCTGGACGGGGGTGCTTCTTGAACTCATGCCCCCACCACCTTTTCTATAATGGCAAACCTCACGCACTGAGAAGCAGACAGAGCCCTGGAATGCCCTTCACATGCCTGTCCCCAGCCTCCCACACAGCCCCTCTGGCCTCATCTGCAACCGTCTCCTGTTTTGATGCTTATAGAAATGAGCCTCTTTTCCTCAACTGTATCCAACTTTTAGTCCCAGGAGAATGACAACCACAAACCAAGTTGTCAGGAAAGGTATGTGGGATCATGAAAGTGACTTTTCAGCCCAGTTGCCTTCTGTATATGAATAACTACATACATATGCATCCTGGGGACACTGAAAACCACACTATGCCAACATTTGAGGTTATTGTTCCAAACCAGAACCACGAAGCAATGTCAGTTCTCTTGCGCTGTGTGAGTGAGTTCTGGACTTGGGGCCATGGCTTGGTGTCCTGGGACCTGGCCAGCCCACGCATGAAGTGTGTGGAGGGTCCCCCGTTACCCAGGAAGGGCGTCACTTTCTCAGTCTGCTCTGACCCCACTGAAGGGATTCATTGCTGAGAGCCTGGCCTGGGTTAGGAGACGGCTTCTCTGATAAACAAGCGCCCTGCTGTATAGATTTCAAGGACTGTGGTTAATAATAGAAGACTGAAGTTTAATCGAATACGTTCTACTTGAACCAAGAAACTGTATGTACACTATGGAAGGGAGTAAACCACTTCAACATGACAACCAGCAGAAATTGCAGGACATTTCGTTTTATAAAGTGCAGTTCCTGCCTTTTATTTAGTTACTGAACATTGTCCCCTCGCTACCCAGCCTCACAGACATCTAAGATGAATTACATCCGCAATTTGGGTGGAAATCCTGATATCACAGCTACTTCTCGTAGATGGCGCTGTTGTCCGCAGGTCTAATGGAATGCCCCTAACCCTCCGGCGCTCCTTTGTGCATTATAGTCATTTCATTCTTAGAAAACTTCACTTACCCTTTCCTGTCTGCCACACGTTTTTCTCGACAGCATCTATTCATGTTGAAAACTGTGGAAGGAAAAGGTGGTTTTCCTTTCTTTATGCTCTGAGGTTAACCACCTTGACCTCATGTCAGTCTCACATCTGTACTGCCTTTCAAGATGTTCTCTGCTTTACATTCAGAGTCTCCCTCCCCCACACCCTCCCCCCCAAACAAAGCAAAAACAACAGATCTGATTAAGAAACTGAGATGCAAGGAAGCTGAGTGATTGGGCACCCTGTCCTGTCCATGAGCTGTGGGCCATTCCAGAGGTCAGATTATTGAGCCCAACTCCTGCTGGGCACCCTAGCACTGCTCCAGTTGTCCCCAGAGGCTGACAGAAGCACTGAAATGGACTTTTAAAGTGAAATGAATGAATTTTTATGTGAGTTCTTTGATCCTCTTGTGTGTGGTCGGGCTGCCTGCGTTTGAATTTTACCTCCCTCCCTCACTCCCAGAAGCAAGTTACCGACCTTCTCTTGACCTCAGTTTTCTTATCCGAAAAATAGGGCCACAGTAGTTCCCACCTCACAGGGTTACTGTGTTGGTTGAGACAGTGCGTATAGGTCGCTCAGTGACTGGGTGCTGTGATGATGGCCAATGTGTGGGCTGTGAGTTTTGGTGCGCACAGTGATGGCATATGTATAGTGACCGGTGTGTGAATCAAGAAATCTCTGGGCTGCGTCTTTGAGACTTCGTTTCAGTTCTTGCTCCTTTCTCTCCCTTGAATCTTCCTCGGCACTCTTGGAGAAAATCTCGTACCTGTGGCATTCTTCAAAATCGCAGACCACAGTGTTCTAGACTTGGTTACTGCAGAAAGTATGAAAATCTGAGCTGGTAAAATAAAATGGAGCTGGAATGTGCGTTAGCGAGCATCCTCGGTTTAAAAAGCAGCCTCCTTTTTACAGGTGAGAAAAGCAAGGCTCAGGAAAGTGGAGGGACTTTGATAAGTCCTTCCGTTTGCGGCATCTCCAGGGTCAGAAATTAGCCTCAGAAAGCTCACGCCAGTCCTTCATTCTTTTATTTGTTCCTTCATTGGGCAGATATGCTCAGTGCTTTTTACAAGATATCAGGAGTAAGGGTCAAGCTGAGGTCCTTGGCAAACAGAGCTCTAGCTGGGCAAATATACATTGTCACAAAGATGATTAGAGCATTTATCACCTTGGCAAAGAAGGAAGGAGTGTTTATTCAGTGCCTTCTCTGTGGACAGACACCGTAAAGCATTGCCACACTTTCTTTCTCATTGAATCTTCACAGTGGCCTTTTGAGGCAGCTATTCTTATTATAATTAGTCCCCTAGTTTTGAGTTGAGGAGACAGAGGTTCAGAGTGACTCAGTGACTTGCTGCAAGGGGCTCAGACATGGTAGAGACTCAGCCCCTTAGCCTTCAGGGTCGTGCCCTTCCCTAAAGCAAGGTTGGTGAGCCCTCCCATTGTGCCCAAGGATGGGCAGAGCACCCTGTGTCTTCCACAGGCAGCTCAGGGCTGACCCAGCCCAGCGGGTCTGCCATCTTGTCCGTTTTCCTGTGTGTCGCCACTTCTTTTCTGTGTTGACACACATCTCCATCTGCTCCTTCCTGGTCCTAGCTGACCTCTGGAACTCAACCCTTTGTCATCTGTGGTGTTCCCAAGAGTCTCCTGTTTAGCTGGGTCCTCCAACCTGTCCTGTCCTCATCAGCCCCACCTTGAGGGTCATGAGGGTCACTCATGTCTCCCTCTGATGTCTCAACCAAGTGTCTGGCTTCAGAACAGGAACCCCTCCAGTCCAATCCAGCCCACTTTCCACTTGTCTCTCTCTACAGCCCTTGCAAAACAAGCCATCTCTCAAAACAGTGTGGGTTCAACACTAGACATGTGGCTTCTATCAGTGTGTGTGCGTGTGTGTGTGTGTGTGTGTGTGTGTGTGTGTGTGATCCAAGACTGACTAGAGGCACTGTGCTCAGTGGCAGCTGGTTTCTAAATGTTTTCTGCTCTACCCAAGAACCTGTGAAGGGCAGTAAAAAGAGTAAGGCCACATTTGCTTACGTGGGATGTAAAAGAACAGGTGCCCCCAGGGCGACAGCGTGAGCTTGAGAGGTCTCATTTGTTCTCACCTTTGCACAGTCGCACACTTATTACACAGCAGGTATGTGACACATGCCACCTGTGGTGTGGTGGAAACACGGGCTGCAGGGATGGGCTGCAGTCACATTATTCAGAGACTTTCCCGAACACCAACTTCCAGACAGAATAAGAAAGAGTGAAATAAAGTGGAAGAAAGCAAATAGCCTATTGAATATGGATGTGTTTCTTCCAAGCAAGAGCTGTGTGGGCACCGCTGTTTAGTCATCTGTACACTTAGCCTTGGTCCACAGGCTGAAAGGCGAAAGGCCAGGCCTGGGTGATTCTTGTGGGTTCCCCACACGAAGATGCTACGGCTCTGTGATAGATGGAATAATTCACAAGTCTGAGTCAATATAACAGCTGCTGTGCCTCCTCATTTGAAAAATGGATTAGAAGATATATATCTTTTCTCCATGTGTCCCATTTGGAAGTATTTGGTTTCTCATGATTTATTTTTAAAAATAATTCAGCATCAGGACTGGCATCTCAGCAATTTTCCCGGAGATCGTGAACTTCTGTCAGGCTTTCTCGTCTCTCTGTCCGGGTCCCTGGTGGGGTGCTTGGTGGAGAGGAGACACTGATAATTATCTATTGGGTTTCAAGGCGATTTCACAAAAGAGGTTTTCAGACAGAAGGGTGGGTTAGTGTCGATTTAGTGAACTGTAAGTTCCCTTCAAACACCAGTTTCTGAACCTCTTTTATAGATTGTTATTGCCACTTATTTTTGTTTCTGTTTGGTTCCACATGATTCAAAAACCTGTATGTGAACAGCAGGAAAATTTATCATGGGCTGAGATATATTTGAAATAAACTCTCAGTTAGTCTCTGGGAGAGGAAACAGGCTAACATTCTCTGTTTGAATATAGATGGAAAGATTTGAAGCTTGTGGTCCCTGGCAACTTAGAAGCATGAGTTCTTCTCTAGTTTTCTGCTTTTCAAGTGTTACTACCAGAAAAGGGCCCCTGTTCTCAGATTGGCCCTGAAAATGAGCGGTGAAGCCGCCTGTCCCGGGTGGGCCAGAAAGCCTTGAAGGGCTGGATGGGCACAGAGGTGAGGGAGCAAGAATGCGTCCTCGGGCCGGCCAACTGGAATACTGATAAACAACAAATTAGTTTTTAATGAAAACAAACCAATTTCTTCCTTATCAGATAAAATCAACCTTAAATATAAGTGGAAAAATTAATTCCATAGCCAAATGTAGTTTTTGGTGTCACATTGTTTTGCATTGTCTGTTTGTTCTCCTCCCCACACTCCCCTTCTCTGGTTTAAACCCTCCGTCGGGCGCAACTGATCTCACAGATTGTTTTGAATTTCTGTGGTTTTTATATCAAATTTATGTAATAAACATATATTGTTTTTACTTTGTGGCAAATTAAAATTTCATTCTGAATAAATAATAAGCATGATTACATGTTATTTACATTCATTTTCAATTTAAATAGATAAATGTGTCATACACTCATCTTAGGTGCATTGCACCTGAACTCGTAACTTTTGCATTGCGCCCGACGGAGGGTTAAGAAATTGGTGCCTGATGCATGCAGAGCTGGGGTGCCAGTGTGGCTTCTACACAGCCTGGCCTGGTGCTCCTGCCACACACAGGCTCTGCGGACGTCAATGAGAGGCCAGTGGTCTCAGGTGTCTAGTCATTTAGTCCCCAAAGAGATAAACCAAAGAGGTGATGACACCCTCAGTGAAATTCTGCTTTGGAAAATATCCGATGAGGACAAATTGGCTTATTTTGTACTTGGTCAAATGAGACATCAAGAAAAACCCAGCATGACTAGAAATGATTTAATGCCAATGGAGGGGACTGTGGTCAAATTTTGTATTTCCTAAAAGACAAGAAATAAAAATAAATTTATATGTTATACTGATCGATATTTGAAAATGTCTCCCTGTATTTTAGCAGGATCTGCTAGACTCTTATCATATTGTGGGAGTGGGCATATGTATTATGATTTATTAATAATGGTACATAATCTAATAAAAATTAAATTATTAAAATAGCAGAATCCACTTACGTCAGTTCTAAGCTGTAGATAGATGTGATAACCTTGTACACTCTTCCTGAAAATTGGGCAATGTATGGTCTAAACTGGACAATCTTTTTTTTTTTTATGATGTTTTCTATATTTTGTGTTTGGGAAAATATTTTGAAAGTTTGACTTTCATTTTACATGTTTAGAAAAATATGCTGAAAAACCTTGACATGCTGACTTTGTAAGGAATGGAAATTTCTTGTTTCACTTGGATTTTGAAAACAAAGACACGGGGCTCTAACCTGTGGAGGGTCCTTAGGTGAGTGGAGAGGCCCGGGCATTCTGTTGGGAATTAAACGCTCAGAGCATTAGGAGGCAGGCGTCCTTTGGAATTTTCTTTGTCTCAGGTATATTTATATTTTTTAAAAGCTATCATTTAAGTTTAAGAAATCAAGCCTTTGTAGATTGATATGATTGTACCTTTAGAATCTCCATGGTAACTTATCTCTGAGGTGTAGATTGGATCCGTGATCTTTCAAAGTGTCACTAAAGTGGAAATAAAATGATTGAAACCGATGTGTTTTCTTTGATGTTAGCGTGTATTTGCCATAATTCTTGGGATACTGCGGACCTGGAAATCGCTGTCCGCCTATGCGCTTGCAGGCTGCAAACCCAGCCTGTCTCAGAAACAAAATGGGAGTGGGAGCGGACGGGCAGGGGGTGCAAGGCTGTGTTGCGGGGAGGGGGCGTGGGATGCCTGGAGATGGGCTGAGAGGGGATGTCTTCTGGGGATCAGTGGCCTGCAATTCCCTGCCCCACCTGCCGTTCTGCGTCCCCTCACAGACTCTACTCTCTCCTCCCACCCTATCTGCAGTTCCAGTCGCTCCCTCCCTTCTAGAACATTCTCACAGCACACAAACATGCTGTCTCTCACTTCCCACTCAGAGACAACCTTCTAGACCGCCTTCCTTTGCCAGCATTTTCCCCTTTCTCTTTTTCTTCCCTTAACACCAAAGCTTCTCCAAAGACAGCCTTCTCATCCTCAGCCCCCATTTTCTCTCCCCTCGCCCCTGCACAGTAATCATTCTGGTGGAGTCTCCAAGTGCTCGCCATCTGGCTGGCGACTGCGTCTTGCTGGAGCCCTCAGTGCCATCTGACGCCCCGAGCGCAGCCCCTCCCTCAGACGCCCCGCCCCTGGCTTCTGGGACCCCACATCCGCTGTATTTTCTCTCACCTCACCTCCTGGTTCCTTTGCTGTCGCCCCTTCCCCTTCCTCACCCTGCCAGCCACATTCCAGGGCAGAGAGCTCAGATCAGACCTCTGTTCCTCCCATGGACACTTCCTCTGAGTCCTATTACGTTTCCGTGGCATTCGTCAACGGGGGCTGCCGTACAGAGGACCACAGGCCGAGTGACTTAACAGAAATATATTTGTTCTCAGTTCTGGAAGCTGGAAGTCCAAGATCAAGGTGTCAGCCAGGCTGGCTCCTTCTGAGGCTGCTCTCCTTGACGTGTAGGTAGAGGATCCCGTTTTCCTGTGTCCTCTCGTGGTTGTCCCTCTCTGTGTGTCTGTGTTCTAATCCCTTCTTGTAAGGACAGCAGTCAGATTGGATGAGGGCCCACCCCAATGACTTCGTTTGCCCTTACCTCTAAATACAGCCACATTCTGAGCCCTTCACATATGAATTTTAGGGGCATGCAATTCAGCCCATAATCGCCTCTCCTCTTTCCTGTCACCTTCCCCTCGTTTCTTTACTCTGCTCTATTTTTTTTCATATCACTCATCTCTACCAGACACCATAGTATACATGTGTACCTCTATTGTTTCTCTCCTCCATAACCTTGGCATGTAAAGCAGTGCCTCTCACACAGTAAGCCATTTTTCTGAACAAATGAAGGAGCTTATGATTTGTGAGAGCTGAGCCAGAACGTGCTTGATTTTATGAGGAGGGTGGGCCTGCAGTTCCAATGACCAGGTCTGAAAGGCAGGGAGACTGCTGTGAGAAGCTCCCAAAAGGGAGAAGGCAAAGGAAAAAGATCAGTGACACCCGCTTCCTGCATCCAAGGTCTTAATAATGGATGAGTGACCCTGGGTGCTGGATGTACTCCCCTGGTGGCATGACGTGCACTTAGCAATTGGGCTTAAATTCATTCTTTGTCTTAGTTGAAGGAGACACAGCTGTCTCAAAGACAAGTTGAGACCACTCAGTCTTCTTCCATGAGACCAGAGAGAAAGTAAAAGATCATCATAAACCTTGTGGGAATATGATCTATCTCAGTTGGACCCCCGAAATTTGGGGGGCTGACATAGGATCACCAGATTTTTAGTTTTTCTAGCAAGACCATTAAAAATATCATCTCTTTTCTTATCACTTTGCTTTGACCCATTCTGGATGTCCCCTGTATGTGGGAATCTCTATTCAGGTATTACTACTTAGTAAAGATATAAAGTAGATCTTCATATAAATAACAATTTGAAAAAAAAATTGCCTGAGTTACGATGTTTTTAATGATAAATGAAAGAAACTTTTTCCAAAAAGCTTCAATCCAAGGGGCAATTTGTTGGCCCACCTGGCTGACCAGGTTCCTGGGGACCCCACAGGGTTGAAGGGGGAGCTAGTGTGTAAGTGGAGAGGACCCCCAGGCATCCCTGGCAGGCAGTCTCTCCCATACTTTTGTTTGCAGATAACCTTGTGTCCCATTGTATGAAGTCCTCTCCCAGTGACGGAGGCCATGGACTCTGCAGTGACAGCCTGCAGAAAGAGAAGGGTCAATCCCTGAGAAGCTCTCTGATTGGCTGGCTTGTGTCCCACGCCCACGCCTTGGTCAATCGTGTTGCTGATGGAAGAGCCATGGTTGGCTGTGCCTGAGTCGTGGCCCATTCCTGTGGCTCTATGGCCTTGAGGGGTTATAGACACTGATTAACATAGTGTCTTCATAACCTCATGGGTTAAAGATGGGCTGCTTTGGCCTGAGGAAAGAATGCTGCCCAGAGTCCACCCAGAGATTGTTAGGCAAAGCTCTGCAAACAAAAGGAATAACGATGAAATGACAGAGAACAGTGTGCTCATGTTTGAGAGAGGAACCTCTCTCACACCCCTTAAAACATACTTCTTAAGTAGCTGTCTACTTTTTCTGCCCATGAGTCCACTAGTCTTGACTATTGCATGATCAGCTAATAAGCATTTAGAAATTGGTTTATCTACATTATTTCATTTAGTTCTCATTTGAGTAACTACTAGAATTCTCCCCACTTTACAACAAAGTGACCTGCATTAGATTTTGAAGAAGCCAAAGAAGAAATGAACCATGACAACAGTTCCCTTCACATTGGCCACCTGGAGTCGCGATGAACAAAGGAACATCCTGTCATTGTGCTGAAGTGCTCATACAGGTGCACTGTCCTGGGGAGCGGAACTATAAGGCGGGTAGAGAAAGGGTCACTTCGGTAGAAAACCACAGTGGTAACGCACCCATGACTCTTTATAGAGTTCTGGGAGATTCTAGTTGGCATATCCATGCATCCCGCCCATGTCTATGGACCGTGATCAAACACGCTTCTCACTGGGCATCTGCGGCCACTCCCAATTCTAAGATGACAGAAGTTTCTGTTTATTCTCTGCTTGAACAGCATTGTGGCCCTGAAGGCTTTTGGGGACAGTGGCCCTACTCAGTAATTGCTGGGAAGAGTTAAGTGAGGTAATACGTGTAACATGATTGTGTAAACCAATAGATAAGTATTAGCTGGAACCATATAAAATTGCTGATATTACACTGTTCACTTTCTACCAACAAAAATGGCTTACCTAAGGTAAAGGATTGTAGGAAAATAGGGGACTGATGATAAAATAGAAGAATTTGTAATTTTTTGGCGGGACAGGCAAGAATGGAATTTTGGATAAATGGCAACAAAAACTGGCAGAAGATGGGGGCTAGAAAGAGGTGATATCGATTGTATTAGGTTTGCGTTTAGCTTGTCCTCCCTCCACTCCTCCATCCCTTCTTATCTATCATGTATTATGTACTGGTCACCTGCTGGGCTGGATTTGGGCATATTTAAAATGCAGCCCAAGGCCAGTGCTTTGCAAACATTTTGTCTGCACCTTGAGAAATGAGTTTGTTCTAAACCAGGGGTTGGCAAACTGTAGCTCGCGAGCCACATGTGGCTCTTTGGGTACATACATGTGGCTCTGAAGTAAAATTGAAAATGAAAATAAAACTATCATAGTTTCATTTATAAAAATGTTTAAAGGATATTATTATTCTTCACATAATGGTGATTTCATTTGTTTTATGGCTCTCGAATAATTTTTAAATTGTTGTGAGGGACAGGATTGGCTCTTCTGTCTCGAAAGTTTACCGAC